TCCCTCGCATGCAGCCGACGATAGAGTTCATGCTCGCTGAGTGTCTGGAACCTACGGAGATCGCACCCGAGAACATCGAGTCTCGATTGATCTCTGTTAGGGTGCCGGCAATCCCGTTCACGTCCAGCTGTGCGAAGCCGCCGATCTTTCGAATGTCCACGTCGTACCAGACGCCCGTCTTCAGCGTTTTCGAGTTTCTCAGGATAGCTAACTTTCGCGAAACCAGCAACGTGACCACCATCTTCGAGTTGATCACGGACACGTGAACGTAGTTCTGCTGCCCGTTCGCGTTCAGAACGTGGCTGGTTCCGGTTTTGTCTAGTTTCAACGCGAACGAGATTTTTAGATCTCGGGAGGTGTGAAACGGTGGTACGATGAAATTGAATTTGCTATCTTTTACGAATGTGTACGTTCGGAGCTTTTTTTTCGCAGGAAAACGGGATCGAATACCGACAGATTGGCATGGTTTCGCCAAAGAAGGCACTATCGCGATTCCGTTGACGGTAGGGTCTCTCAATCGACCGACGAACGACGGAGCGTTCGACGCTCCAAGCAACAGGGTACCTGTCGGTGCGACGAATCCCCCTTTCGGAATCCGGCTGACGAGCCCCTCGGTTCCGTTCACGTCGACGTGCAACGCTGAACCGTTCCATCGGACGTCGACGTCGTGCCAGATTCCGAGTTGCAGTTCCTCTTCGCTCGTCGCCGCCGCGAACCCGCCGTCGAAGTTCAGCAGAGCCACGATCCGACCGCGGTGTACGCTCACGTCCGCGTGATTACGACCGAGTCCTTGGGCACGCACCACGTTACCCGTGTTCCAGCTTTCCAATTTCAACCCGAACGAGATCTTCGCAGAACCTCCCGAGGATGCAGGTATCTCGATCGTTTCGCTCGAGTTGTTGCGAAAAACGTGACAGGTAGGTACCGACGTGGACGGAGGCGTATCGCACCGTTGCATAGAAGGAATGTTTATAGGAAACGAGTTGAACTTCAGATTCCCGAGACACCCTACGAACGACTGATCCTTTCCGTAAAAGGAGCCGACTTGAAAAATTCCGGTAAGATAGTGGTTCATTCGTCGTAGCATTTCGTCGTCGTGGTAATGACGAGATGCCTGCTCGTCCTCTCCGTCCACTTCGACGTGCACGCGGTTTCCTGACCTTCGAACCGATATTTCGTACCATCTGCGGACCTGTAATTTTCGCAGGTTCATCGTCTCTATGTACCAATCTCCCACTTCGAATCTCACGTTCAGATATCCCTTGACGATTTCGACGTCAACGGAGTCGGGAAATCCGACGCTGTACAGTACGCCGGCGACTTCGTGTTTTTCCCGCAGGAAAATGTTGAAAGAGACAATCATCTCGTTACGGTCGTCGTTCAGGACGTCGTCGGGCACGCGAAACTGACCGTGCGTCGAGTTTTCGAACTTGTAAGCACCGAAGGTCAGCGAGGTGATTCGAGCGCCTAAAGCAAGCTGTCTTTCGCCGTCGTCATCAATGCCGACGCTGCTGCCGTCGTCGTCGTCGTATGTAGACACCTGCGTATTCTCGTCGTCGCGGTTAGGGATCTCGGCGGGTTTCGCAGTCGTATGGCTTCGACAACCCACGGTGTATATGCTTTCCGAGTTTACGGTCAGATTGCCTATACATCCGACGAACGCACCCAAAAAGAAGTTTCCCGTTATATCTGCATCTGACACCGCGCCTAAATTTCGAATCTCTTCTCCGACGACTCCGTCCAACCGTACCAGAATCGACCGTCCTACCCTATAGACCGCGACGCTGTGCCAGTTACCAATTGCGAGTTTCCCGGGACTCCTCGTCGACCACTCTTCGTCTCCCACGCGAAATCGCGCGACCACCTCGAGGTCCTCCACGTCGACGTGCACGAAATCCCCGTCTCCTGCGTTGCGCAAAACGGTGCAGTTCTCTTCGTTCTCCAACTTCAGTTCGAAAGCGATGCTCGTCTGGCGTCGAAACTCGGACGGCGCGTTCGAAACAGCGAAGGTCTCTCTGCCGTCGTCGGAGCATCGGCCGACCGACCTCAGAACGGGAACGTTGGAGTTGACGGATATTCCTCTGAGACACCCGTCGAACGAGCCCAGCGTAAAATTTCCTGTCAGTTTTGCAGTCGATGCCGTGCCCGTCTTTTGCATTCCCTCCCCGACTACATCGTCCAACCGCACCTGAATCCATCGACCCAGCCTGCTGATCCCGACGCTGTGCCATCGTCGCGGTTCGAGTTTCCCTGGACTCCTCGCCGACCACTCTTTTTCTCCCACGCGAAATCGTGCAACCACGTCGAGGTTCTCCAATTCGACGTGCACGAAATCCCTTGATCCGAAGCTGCGCAGTACGGTGCAGTCATCTCCGTTCCGCAACTTCAGGTCGAACGCGACTTTCGTCTTGTGTCTGAACTCGGGTATGTCGGACCGTATGCTCG